TTGGGCAATTTAACCTATATTTTCAAACTCAAAAAACTAGCTAAATCATAATTGGACAAAAAAGACATTTGTCATGGTCCTATACGAAGACATACGGACAATTCCATTATGTATAGCACAAACACTTGTTCCTCACTGGAAACTCCAGGTTCCAAATTTGTCTCATGGTAGTAAAGAAAGTTTAAAATCTATATACGGCTATCTCACAGAATAAGGAGTATAATTCTCAGAAATGTTACAGATTAAAAGTCAATAGAAGATTCCTACTAACTGCATTTCAGACAACAGTAAACCAAAGATCTTAAATTATACATAACTACATACAACCTTGAACCATGGATTTGTGCAGCTTTATTTTTTGATACAAAAGTTGTCATCTTCTCGTGCAATCTTTCACTAGCCTGACAACAGCCACCATTAGAAAATTCACGATAACACCTTCAAGACCAAAAATAAATGCATAAACAAAGATATTTGTGTCTTCTGCATACATCAGCTATATGTGAATGGCGGAGCTCTAGCCAGATAGGGTCATGATCCTCCAAAAGAACCTCTTTCCTTTCAGGAACACCACCAGTTTTGCTAGCAACCTGAACAGTATGTTACTAGAGATAGAAGAATGAGAAATATATGAAAAATCAAGCAATGATGGGACATAAGAAGTCAACGCATTACCTCGTGTACATATTTGTTTCCATCCATATTCAGTAAATCATGGCACATGGCATCATATGTCCATTCATGTATGACTGGAGCGATCTGCACATGGAAAGAAAACTGTTAAAAACCAGAAAAACAAACATAGGATCATAGGCATATGTTACTCCATCTATACCATAATATTTGCTTGACATTATAAAAGGTAAAGAATTAAGTATAACAGAATCGACTGAGTGCTAGAGTCATGGAAATGCTTCTTTCTTTCATATTTTAGACCTTAGCTCCATGGAATAATAAGTTACTGCTGAAACATGGAACAACTTTTTAAGCACAGAATTATCACATTGATATTGGAATTCATCATTAACTATTTTCCCAACTTTGAACTTGAAATTCCAAGATTAATAAGATAATGATTGCTTGTCTTTCAGTGAGCATGTAGTGGAACGTTCTGTATAAGCAAGCAGTACGACTTTCTGAAATAAGATGACATTTTGGGAAGTCCAGAAAGGTAAGTATAGCAACAACAATGGGAGAAAGAGTAATTGACAATGAACAGATAAAAACCTGGTCTATTGATCTATCCAGGATAAGCAGGTCGCATGTCTCTGATTGAGGGAAGTTAGGAAGGTTGGATCTATATTTCATAAGACAGTTCCAAATGCCAGCAGCAAGCTTTGTAGGAATTAGATCGCGAAATGTTGTCATTGTATTAGGATCAAGGGATTTGGCAGCTCGGTAGCGCACAAGGGGAAACTCCTGTCAAGAGTATAATTATGCAAGTTTGTGAGGAAGTTGTATAAATTATGTGTCATGAGCCAATAATTAAGAACTCAGAATACATACCCGCAATGATGCAAAGACTGTAGCTATTCGGGTTGCCATCAAATTTAGACATGCATCTCCTTTGCGAGAATTTTCTTCATCCCCAAAGAGTACCTCAAGAGCTCTCTCATTGTCAGTGATAAAACCCTATGGATACAGTTTATTATTACATGCAATAAGAAACTCGCCATTTTGCATTAGCATCACAAGGGAATGATTCGAGAGGAGGGAGTCGGAAAATTGCACAAGCTTAATCCAAATATGCAGTAATCATTTAAATTAAAAAAGGAAAAAAAACGAAAAGCAAGCTTCCAAATTGCCTTTTTTTCATTCTTCTTATTTAAAATATCTATCCACTTGTAGATAATAAATAAATTATAAGACAAATATGTGGGATAATGTACCTGGCTATCTATTGCAAAATACTCCAAGTTCATCTGCAGATTCAGACCCAAATTGAGAATGAATACCAAATCTAACTCTATGAAAAATCGCTACCACGTCAAAAATGAATTGTTAACATAACCTCTCTCAAAGCACCAATGCGAGATAAAACACTTGCATCCTTCTTTATGTGATTAACCAATTCCCGGGCAACAGGTGAACTAAAGAAGATGAATGCCCTAATAACATAATAAAACAAAGAGACGAGAGAGAGATGAGAAAACGAATATTAGATTTCCAAAATAAGTTTCCTTATATATTTTTGGAAAGTGGGTAGAAAATTTTCAAAAAATTGTGGAAACTAAAAAAAAAAAAAAAAAAAAAAAATTACATCA